GGTCAAGGCCGAGCACCAGAGGCCACACGACAAGATGCAGCCGTTGGATATTCCGCTGTGGAAATGGGAGGATATTACGATGGATTTTATCACAAAGCTTCCCAGGACCGCGCGAGGGGTGGATTCGATTTGGGTCATCGTCGATCGATTGACCAAGAACGCTCATTTTTTTCCGATTCAGGAGAGCATCTCGGCCGAGAAGCTGGCCGACATTTATATCAGAGAGGTGGTGGCGCGGCACGGGGTGCCAGTGTCGGTGATTTCAGACAGAGATGTTCGGTTCACTTCCAGGTTTTGGAAGAAGTTTCATGACGAGCTGGGTACTCGTCTGCATTTTAGCACCGCCTTTCACCCGCAGACGGATGGTCAGAGCGAGCGGACCATCCAGACGCTAGAGGATATGCTGCGGGCATGTGTTTTAGACTTCGGAGGTAGCTGGGATACCTACCTTCCGTTGGCGGAGTTCTCGTATAATAATAGCTATCATGCGAGTATCGATCGACCTCCCTTCGAGATGTTGTACGGGAGGAAGTGCAGGACCCCGATATGCTGGGGCGAGGTTGGCCAGAGGGTCATGGGGAGCAACGAAGTAGTGCTCAAGACGACAGAAAGGATTCAGCAGGTCAAGAGCAGACTTTAGACTGCACAGAGTCGGCAGAAAAGTTATGCGACAAGCGCCGATCGGACCTGGAGTTTCAGGTCGGGGATATGGTTCTCCTGAAGGTGTCGCCATGGAAGGGCGTCATCCGATTCAGGAAGCGGGGCAAGTTGGGTCCCAGGTATATTGGACCCTTCAGGGTTATAGCCCGGGTGGGCAAGGTGGCTTATAGGTTGGATCTGCCAGCCGAACTCAGACAGATCCACAACACTTTCCACGTCTCTCAGCTGCGGAAGTGCCTGGTGGACGACTCAGCAGTGGTACCCTTAGAGGACATTCAGGTCGATGACAGCCTGAATTATATTGAGCGGCCAGTGGCGATCCTCGACCGGAAGTCGAAGGATCTGAGGAACAAGAGGGTGGAGCTCGTGAAGGTGCAGTGGCAGCACCGGAAGGGCTCGGAATGGACCTGGGAGCCGATGGATGAGATGATGGAGCATTACCCAGAGCTATTCCAGGATCGAGCAACAGACTTCGAGGACGAAGTATAAAATAAGTGGGGGAGATTTGTAGCACCTGGTTCCTGGTATGTATTTTATTTAAGTAAGTTTGCATTTTTGACCTTGGACTCGGCGAGTTGAAGGAGCAACTCGCCGAGTAGAAGCGGGATGAGACGCGGGATTTAAGTGATGGACTCGTCGAGTCGGATCCCGGACTCGACGAGTAGGCTCTGTCTGGACAAAACCCTAATCTGAGGGTTTGCACCCTATTTAAACAACCTTATACAACCTCCATCGCCCCTTTATGCTCCCAGAAACCCTCTATAGCAACCCTGAGTGTTTTGGTGCAAGATTTAAGGCTTTTGAGTGATTCTTGGTGGCTTTGTTCACAAGGAAGAAGGAAGAGCATAGAAGGATCAAGAGGAAACTGAAAGATTCGAGTTTGGTTCATCATTTGCAGTCTTTGAGAGGTATAAGGTCTGTACCTTGCTCTTTCATTTGATAGATCCCCTTTTTGGGGAGATTTAGGGCTTTTATAAGCCATTTTGGTAACCAACCATGATTGCAAACATGGTTGGGGGTTGAGGCTTTGGAATCAGGTCTTTAAAGGGGTCACAAGGCAGAATTGGGTTGCTTTTGCACCCAAAGAAGGCCCCATGCATCACTAGAGCTTATTTTATGTCCTTTTGAGCTCAAAGTCCCATGCATGCACGTAAAGTTTGTAACTTTACGTGCTAGAACGATTAAAGGAGCTTAGATCTATCTTTTGGTCAAGTGTTGTACATCAGAAATTGAGGATTTTGGGTGTGGACGTTATCGACTCGGCGAGTCCGTTCTTGGGACTCGACGAGTCCAAGGCTTTGAGTCCCATTTCTGTTGAGGGTCAAAAGGACTCAGTTGGGCGTTAGAAGGGTTGTAACAGGACAGAAAGAGTGACCTAATGCACTGGACTTAATTTTAGACCTGGAGTTCATGGGACTCGACGAGTGCTAGAACAGACTCTGCGAGTCCAAGGCAATCTCCTTATGTTTGAAGATGAACTCGACGAGTTGTTCATACAACTCGGCGAGTCAAGGTCAGGACGTGTTCATCAGTTGAAGGTGAACTCGACGAGTTGTTCATACAACTCGGCGAGTCAAGGTCAGGACGTGTTCATCAGTTGAAGGTGACCTCGACGAGTGTTCATACGACTCGGCGAGTCGGTTGAAGGTTCATTGATGTTCGTAAGGAAGGGGAACTCGTCGAGTCATTGCCAAACTCGACGAGTCGAGTCGTGGATAAGGATGAGTAAAAGGAAGGGACTCGACGAGTTGACGGCCCAACTCGACGAGTCGGGTCAACTGGAAGTTGACTTTGACTTGGACTTGGTTGGGGGTAAAATGGTCATTTTACCCTAAGAGTAGATATCAGTTTCTAACTGAGTGTTTTGTGGGGATTTTAGCCGGAGGATTTCCGGAGCAGCAGCGGACAGATGTTTCCCGTACAGATTACCAGCAACTTCTTGTACGAGGTGAGTTACCTTCCAGTAGGGGTGGGTCTAAGGCCACAATGCCGGCCCACCAAGGAGGAGTATTTAGAAGATGATTGTCTTTGTGATAATTATCTTGGTCTGGTTACATGCTTTGGTCATGAGTGTTATTTGTATGATATGTTACGTGTATGATAGGGATTGGTTTCCCCTGATAGCGGTCCTTAGGACCGAAGGGTAGGTCAGTACCCGGATATGCCTGACTGTATGTTTATATCTTGTTGTTATATGCTAGTGGTAGGGGTGGAATAGTCCCCTGTTACCGGTTGAAAGATACCGATGACAGTTACCGGTTGAAAGATACCGATGATGATTACCGGTTGAAAGATACCGATGATGATTACCGGTTGAAAGATACCGACGATGATTACCGGTTGAAAGATACCGATGATATTGTATGGTATGTGGTATGATGGGGGAACTCACTAAGCTTTGTGCTTACGGTTTCGGTTTTGGTTTCAGGTACCTCTTCGTCTAAGGGGAAGGAGCCGGCGACGTAGCATCGCATCGCACACACACACACACATGATTTCCGCATGGAGTTTTCTGGGATTGTACTCTGATATGTATTATTTTATGACTTGGGTTTTCAGACATGATGCTTGTTTTATGAGATGATGTGTTTTCACAGTATTTTTTTATGAATGTTTTTAAGAGGCAGTTAATTAAAAAGAAATTTTTGGACTTGAAAATTGGGTCGTTACATTGGGCCCCCATTAATAAATTATACATATATTTACATATATTAATTATATAAATATAATAAACAATAATATAATTTCGAGCTTCCAAAATTCAACAAAAAACATGTTTTTAAGTTGTTATTATAATGTTTTTAAGATGTCATAATTTTTTGTTTTTAATATGTAAAATTTTGTTCTAAATAATTATTTGTTACAAAAAAAAATTTCTTTTAGCCCAAACAACAACTTCTTTTAGCCCAAAAAAGGCAGCCCAAAATGAATCGGGAGCGTGGACGGGGGCGGAGGTAGGAAGGCTAGACATTTCGGTGGCAGGGGAGGGGGCGGGAGAATGGGGGAATTTCGGGGGCGGGGGCGGGGGATGTACTCCTCATCCCGTTTGCCCCCGTTGATATCCCTAGTTTTGGGCACTGATCGCGTACGCCCAATGTAATCAATTTATGCCCATCGTACTAGGGATGCCCTAGTACGCCCAGCGTACTCCCCGTATGCCCAATGTACGCGACTAACCCAAAAATCTTCCTAACTTTAAACAGTCGTAACTTCTTCGTTCCAATTCTGTTTTCGAAGTTCTTTATATCCACGGAAAGGTATTGAGGAGCTCTACAATATTATCTAAATATTTTGGACTAAATACTTTTCGAATAAAAATCCATATTTCATGAAAGAACCGAGCCTATGACTTTTTCCGTTCTACCATTCGGTCCAAAACACAATTCAAAGGTTTAGATCTCATAACAATGATTGCCTCCTTCCAAAAGGTCTAAACATTACCTTCTTAAGGCCCAAAGCCTATACACAATCAACTTTCGGCCCACGACCCTGAAATAAGAAATGACGGGACACATGATGTTACAAATTTAATCAAAATTCAAGACATATATGGCAAGGACGAATCATGGTGGACGATAATGGTGTTGACAACAACTTGAACTAACTTGATTTTGTAGGAATTGGTGGATATACGTGATGGGTTTATATTATGTTTACAAGGGTAATTAAGTAAATATGGTAGATTTAGATTAGCATCCGTATCCTTTCTCTCCAAATCCTCCCAATTGGGGAGGAAGATTAGGAGAGAAGATAAGCACATATCTTCCTTTCGCTTCTCTCTAATCTCTCTAGAGAAAGATCTCAGGAACACGCCAATCTCTCTATATCCTTATGTTCTCTCCACTTCGTTTCCCTTCCATCCTTAAATGAGACTCGGGAACAAGGTTTTTGAGTTTCAATCTTTTTTTATCATTTTTCTAGCTTCTTGAATAACTGAGTCCTTCAAGAAAATGGTGACAAAGGGGGCAGAATTATCGATGAAGTTGTAGTATTGTACTAATATGATTTAGTATGTTAACATAATACGGCTAGTGATTATCATGTATAATGATATACATATGTATATGTGCATATATATAAATTAATTGGTATTCAAAATGATAACTATATATCATGAAAAAAATCCTTTTCCATTAGATTGATCATATTTTTGAGTAATTCTTCATTTTATGCGAGTTACAATACATCTGGTGTTCATATCCAGATTGAATAAAAAATTGATGTCTACTATCATACATCTCTTTAGAAAGTGTAAAGCACAAACATAAATTGTTTTCAGGGCGTAACAACGAAGAACAAAATCTTCGAAACACAAATGACTTTTTCTACCCATTTCCACTTTACCCTATCAACAATGGGAACCAAATGGGGTAAGTTATCATTATCAGAAGAAGAAGGACAAGGAAGAAGGCGATCATGGCACATTTTCTCGAGTTCTTTTGCAGCTCTCTTGCCTCAACCAATTGTTCAGTCCCTCGGTGCACAAACGAACTAGCATGGGCCACGTGGCTTTCAATGTCGTTCAGTTGTTGCCCTTGAGAATCTACTAATGCAGCCATATCCAAGAAAATTTGATGGAGTTCCATCAAGTTTTTCTCTATTTCCTTAACAGAATCATGTCTTTCTTGGATTTCGGAAATCGTGTCCATAATCTGGCCACGACCTTGATCTTGGATAGCTTTTTGCATGAAATCTTCACCTTCACCACTAGAGATTAGGTTTTCAATCAAATCATCGTTAGCTTTTTCTCCTGTAATTGTGAAGTAACGTCTACCCACAGTCTCCTTATACTCTTCATTCATACGGGTTCTCAACGATTGAAAGTCGTCCATCATGGACTTGAGCTTCTTCCCTAAACCACTGACAACAGCTGTACGAGTTCTATCAGCTGAGGAGCCGGGCCCACAACCAGGAAGCTTTCGATTTGCGATGTTAGCCTTGTCAAGAGCTTCGATCTTTCCTTTGATGACTTTCACACGCTTCAACACTTGTGAGACATCTGAATCCATTTTTGATCGAAGGTTTTTCATGGCGTTTGCATTATGGACAGTTTTGCTTTCCTCATTGGCTTCTTGTAGGCTTTTGTAGAGTTTCTCTATTCCGGCCAAGTCTTTCTTAACATTCTCGACATCTTCAAAGAAATTGTCAAGTTCGGCTGAGTTCCCATCGGGGCCACCACCAGCCTCCAAGTCGACATCTTTATCTTGATATTGCTTAAACGATTGGGAGAACAAATCATTCATTTTGACCGGTTACGTTTATATGATTCACTTTATTCTTAAGAAACAATCACAGTTCAACTCGAAAAATGTGAAAATTTTGGACAGATCTTCCCTTCTTCCTCTCCAAGAGCAAAATTTGATGGAGGAAGAAGAAGGAGAAGAAAAGTTGAGGAAACTGAATGTTTTGCCGACTTATATATATGCAATGGAGAAATAGATTTTATGGAAGAGTCCTCAAAACATTGAAGGGCTAGTCGTTAAATTAGGAGAAATTTAATGTCTACTTCTATTATTTTTGTCGTTTTTTTCAGCCTTAAGAACTCCTTATTTTTGCACCTCTTTTTTTACTTCGTTCTCTAACATGTTTTCCGCTGAAAATTTTCTTTTTTATCTCATCTTTGTAGACCCAATTTGTTATCTATTTCTATTTGGTCAAATAAAAAAACCGAATATGAACTTAATTATCTTACTCTGACTATAAATATGGGTCATATATTCTATCCAAGGACCTGTGTTTTTAATCTATAATAATAACTAGGGGAAGCACGGGTGGAAGTTATTTTCAAATGCTGTTGGAGGCAGAATTTTTTTTTCCTTAAAACACAAGGAAATATAAGTTTTGGTACTTGTATAAAAGAAACAACCGAGGTGGACCACCCAAGAAAATCCATGAGAAATTAAGGGTTAATGACTTAGCAAGGTAATAAGTTCACATTAGGTCTTTAAGGTTTTTTGTTTTTACATATTACACAAATATGATTGTTATAACCGTTTAAAAAAGGTAATAATGTTTTAACTTTGTTCACATTAGGTCCGTAAGGTCTTTTTTTGTACATATTACACCAACATAGTTGTTATACCCGCTTAAATAGGCGTAATAAGGTTTTAATTTTATCCATATTAGGTCTTTATTTTAAATATTTTTATCATTTCATCTAACTCTTTTATAATTTATATTAGTATCTAGTTAGATAGATTCATCATTTCATCTTCTCGTTTTAGTCGCCCATTCACCACAACCACGGTTTCAATTGAAAGGTTACATAACAATTTTTTGTCATTTTTAAACAAAAAAAAAAAAAAAACAAAACTAATAATAATCAAAGTGTTAATGATTAAGGCTATGTTTGGCACACCACAGCTAGCTTATAAGCTAATTTATTTTTCGATTTTTTTTAAGTTGTTATGTTTGACCTGCCAAAAGGTAGCTTATAAGATAACGTTTTAAAAAGCTACTTACACTAGTTTTTTATCTTAAATTTCCAAATTTACCCCTTAATTAGTTAATAAAACATATTTTTTAAATGTCCTTTTATGTCATTATATAAATTTCAGATAACTTATAAGTCAGTGGCAGAGTCAGGGTCAAAGTAAAAGAGTATTACCGACAAGTAATGAAATATCCCCGATAAGTAAACGGTTATAACAACCATGTTGGTGTAATATTTGCAAAAAAACATTAAAGACCTAATGTGAAAAAAATTAAAACCTTATTACCCTCCTTGGTTATTAACCCTTAAGGTAAATCTCCATTGGTGATTAGATTTTGGTCGGTTTGTAGATTAGGATTTCAACCAATACTTGTAACATAAATAAAAAGATTATTAAAGAAACTAAAACCATTAATTTTGGCCTCATGAGAGAAATGTTATTTCAATTGCATGTACTTATACTTATCAATCGATCTTTTTATATGGGGGGAGGAGGAGGAGGAGGATGGCCCCCTGTTTTTTGACCTCCTTAATAATAAAAGTTTGGTTTTATTTTTTGACTAACCATTTGGCCCCCAAGTTAATTATATACTATCTTCGTCCCAAATTGATAGTCCATTTTTGATTTTTGAAGTCTTTTTTCTTAAACTTTGACCTTAAATATTTTTGTGTTTGATAGATAATACTTGATGCAAAATATATGAATGAATTGTATTTTAAATTGTTTTTCATTGTTATAAGATTTATCAAGTAATATATAACACAAATAATAATATTTAAGGTCAAAGTCGAAGAAAAAAGACTTCAAAAGTCAAAAGTGGATTATCAATTTGGGACGGTGGGAGTACTATTTTTATATGTAATGTTAAAATAACTAACTTTTAAAGATAAACACAAGGTTACACCACTTTTAACAGAATTAGCTAGCTTATTACAGCACTTTGCTACTTTTAATGTGATTTGATGTTTGTTAGTTTCTAGGCTCATATTTATTTAAATAAAAGAATGTTATAGAGTTTTTAGGAAAATTAAGTTAGTGAAACCATATGCTAATTGCCAATAATGTACGATTACTAATTTTGTAAAGGTAATTTTAGTATAGTTAGAATAATTAGTTGTATTTAAACATAATCATTAAAATTTTATTCTATTTTATTATTTTGTTAACTATTAGCGAATCATATTAGATAGTCTACATCAAAATGATAAAACAATGTCCGTCTTCCGTATTCCACCCCTGCGATATCAATACCATTGGGGCCACTATTGAAATTAATTTGCATAAAATAGTTAAAAACTATTGCAAATGAAGCCTAAATAAAAGTAAAATAGAACTAGATGAGATTATCTTTACTTGTTACATGGCTGACAAAATCTTTACCAAAATTCAAATTTGTGAATCGAAAATTCAAATTTGTGAATCATATTGGCCATCCAGGATAGCCAAATGGAGCATCACTACAATCACAATTAAAAAAGAGTAAATTGCACATATTTTTAAGAAGCTCAAACTTGTAACTACATACACAAAAAAACAATAATAATAAATTAACAATGAGAATTATTTAAAAGAGGCAGCGGTAATCATTCACAACCTCATCAACATGTCCCAAACATTTCGGTGCCTAAAACTTAGTCAAAGAAATTTCTTGATAAGAAAAAACTAATGATTTATATTATGAGGTATTGGTCGTTTATAGAGTAAACTACAAAAATAGTCATTAATTTTTATTCTTGTAGGCGATTTTTTTTTTCACTTTTGGTCCATATTTGTAGGTTTTTATAGGGCTTTCTCATTTCGGACCTACAGTTCAAGGTTTCGCATCAATTTTGCTTCCTATTATAATATTTCAGGGCCATAAATGGTATGGAAGGTTTGCGTTGTAACAAAATTTATCGATAAAACACTGAAAGAGCTATTTTAAACAGCTTAAAGTAGGAGTGAGCGTGGTGCGGTTTGGTACGATTATTAGTCAAAACCTCACCACTAATGCGGTTAATCTATTTTCAAAACCGCTTGATGCGGTTATTTTTGCAGTACGGTTAGGCGGTTATTTTTGCGGTGCGGTTTTGTTTTTTCTGTGTTGCGGTTATTAACCGCATGAATTTGGTGTGGTTATTTTGTGTGGTTTTTAACCACAGTTTAGAGCTCAAACGGTTTTAAGACTTCAAACATATTACTTGTAATAATAAAAACCGTAAGCTATAAGACAATTAACTTAAATCACAAACAACTAATATCTTAAAAACGTCAAATCAATAGTAATTAACAACAAATATCTTAAAATTGTCTAATTTCACCGTTTTTCAAAATTAAACATAACAAAAACCAACATTTTGACTTCTAGTATTTTTATCCATCTTTCATCTATGAAACTTATCTTATTTTTAATATTTAATATATTAATAATTAATAAAAAAATTGCATTTTTTTTTGCGGTTTTTGAAAACTAATAACCGCACCGCACCACAAATTTGCGGTATTCGAAAAACAGAAAACTTCTCCATCGGTTTTTATTGCGGTTGCGGTTTATCGGTTGCGATTTATGCGGTGTTTACGGTTAATTTTAGTTGCAGTGCGGTTTTTACTCACTTCTAGCTTAAAGATTCGTACTTCAACAATGGCTTTTTTAAACCTGTGTGTGATAACGACATAACCATTAAAATTCCATGTTTCTTGGGTATCTTTGTAAAGCTATTAAGAAAATAAAAAAATTAAAGCTGAGCTTTCAATACCCGTTTAAAAATTCCGAAAAACCAAGAAACATTATTCTTTGAGTTAAAACCCAAGAAACATTTTGGGCTATATCTTTATGAGTGTCAAAAACCCCATCATAACAGGGTATCTACACAAAACACAAAATGATTCACATCTTTTATTTATACAAATCATTAAAATCACAAATGAAAACGTTAAAAGCTAAGGTCCTACACAAACAAACATGTGTCTGCAATCTTATTTTCAGGGCCGGTTCAAACATATTTTAGGCCAGAGGTAAGAGCAAAAACAGGATCTTTCGAAAAACAAATTGCTTCTAGTGCAACCGTATCAAATGTATTTTTTTTTTGAGATCGATGGTAACTCCATCGCATCTTTGAAAAACCCCAATTATGTGAATAAGAAATATAGAAGTAGAACGCACATTTGGTCCGTGTTTAAATGTAGCAATGTAGTTTCAGACTACAATGACTTAATAAGAAACAAATTAAAATAAATAAATAAATAAAATACTAAATTACAATTTATGCCCATGTCATGTATTTTTGGATTAAGTCCATAAAAAACCTTTTTGCAAATTTGGTTCTGCTTTCAATTTTTTAATGTTTTTCGTCATTCTCACTGCCACCATTAGCAAAACATCATTAAATATACGTAAAATGACCATATTACACTTGAATATAAAATGACCATATTACACTTGAATATAATATTTGCAGCTTGAATCCTCCAAAGGTCAGAAATTGAAAGTCTATTCCACTGCCTATAGGAATGCCAATTTTATCCTTCTTAATGCACTCCACCTACATAGAGTTTCATCAAACAATTCAACCTTTTGATGAAGGAACCATTTTCGTCCATATGTAATGAGTGTTGGATTAATCGGTTAGTTAATACAGAAACTTTTATTATACTAGGATAACTTTGATTCTAGAAGGTTGTTTTTCCTAGTTTTAGTATTAGATGAGGATTCTAGTTTTATTAGTATAAATATGGTTAATGTTTAGGATGTTTAAGTTGATTTTTTTCTACAATAAAGTTCACCAAGTAATTCCTCGTTCTTGTTCTTTTCTTCTTTTTTGTTCGGTTCA